CATAGACTAAATATTGAGATCCAATAAGTACTACAATGAATTCAAAAAGCAAAGACATCAATAATGCAGTGTTGGCTTCCAATAATAATAATAAAAAAAACGCAGACCACTTCAGGCTGATAGATAGTACCAATCAATACTCAATCTTTTCGCTTTCCTACAACATCATTTGAATTGAGCAAAAGACCATTGGAAAATGTTCTTCCCATTAACTTTGTAGAAGTAATTTAAAATGGTGAGTGCTTTAAAGAGACTCCTAGAATGACAAGATGACTTTTTCCACGATAGTGGGGGAACCAATCTTCTCTCCTTTACTAGCCCTGGCCTCTTGCAGTTGCCAGCCATCACTTAGAAAAGCCTAACTTTGACGCCGTGTAAGAACCTTATTAGGGCCTCTTGCAGTTGCCAGCATTCACTTAGAAAAGCCTAACTTTGACGCCGTGTAAGAAATACGGGGAAGAGAAATAGGGATCCTCATTGACCAAAAAACAGGGCCTATATCTAAAGATATACAAGAGAGAAATAAGGAAATACAGATTTTTGTATACAAATTATTAAATATAATAGATAAGATCCCAAAAATTATTTACCAGACAACTCGGCAATTGCTGCCATACAAAAAAGCAGCGTCCACTTTATAATCAATGTGTTGCCATGCCATTAAAGGTAGGCCTAGCTGCTGTCCAAAAATGCTGCCAGCTACAACCTCTTCAATGACACAGATGGCCAGCCATCTGGAAAATAGACACTAGTCCCCATAATTCTAGCAATCAAGAAGGGTCGTGAGCTATCCTGCTATCCAGGGATAGGGAAACTGATAAGGAAGTGTCCCTTCTGAAAAGGGACTCCCGCGTCCAGCAAGAGGGAGAGCCGATCGGCCCTCCTTCGGATTTGGCGCCACCATTCAGCTCTGAGCCCAATCCTCAATTATCTATGGCATATATACTTGCTTCTTGTGTTTTAGGGTGGCTGTTTTTGTGTTTTTTGTATTGAAACAGTTGTCACCGTTTATTCCTCTCTTTGAGGGCAGTATCCTAGGGTTCCAAGTGGTGCTTCAGCTGTATCTTGATCTTCATGAGGTGATTATCTTCCCTACCCCCTTCCACATCCTTCCCATGTCACTCCCAATCGCCCTCCATTGCTGCAACCTCCCCGACAGGCGCACTCTGACTGTTTTCCTACAATTTCTTGCTCTTCCAACTTGATGCCACCCCACACAGTCTCCCTCCACCATTCCCCTACCTTCCATCCTACTTCAATCGCTAGCGCCGCCCGGAACAGCAGGAAATCACTATTTTTCTGCAGTATTTCGCTTTCCCAGCCACCTTCTCCTTCCGGACTTGTCGTTGCCTCTATCCTGCTTCCCCCTCCTTGTTGTCGCCCCAAACAGCAAACTATTGTTGTTGGGACTGCCGCCCCTAGCTGCCCTACTGTTCCAACCGCCCATAATAGCTTCCGCAACTTTCCCTGTTGTTGTACTTTCCCTTTCAAATGTGTTGGCTGTAATCATTTATTTGCTTTTTCATTAAAAATATTTATTTTTTTATTATTATTAGCTTAACCCTAGTCCTATCCTAGGATTTCTAACATTCAACAATACCCAATCCTATCTCTATCAAAAATCCGATAGTTAATTTTTCAAGCCCAACAACACCGCCAAAGAGACTATTGTTAGAAATCTGTTCAGGAAGAAATTCCCCAATGTCATTTATGAGAAATCCGTAAAAAGATGCCTGAGAACCTTCTATAGAGAATGTGCCACGAGAAATCCTCCAACTGCAACAGAGGCTTACCCCATTTGAGAAGAAGAGATCTAAAAAAATCACTCGTAGCCACAACAATGACTTGTCAAATCGAAAATATACAGTAAATCCCATATACAGTGCAGATTTTAGAGATGAAGAACCACTACCGCGAAGACTGTGCATGAAATATCACATAATCAAAGATTTCGAAGTAAAAATTGATTTGCAATATTTTGACAGCCATATGGATACAGACAAGTTCATCGAGTGGCTCTGGACATTTGAAAATGGCTTTGAGTACTAGGATGTCCCATTGGAAGGAATAGTACAGCTAACCGCTAACAAGCTAAAGAAATGCGTTATTTTGATGAAAAAATTTGAAGCACCTATTGCAGCGTGGGGGAAGACAATAGTAATACCTGGTCCAAGATGAAAATACAACAGCAACGCCAGTACCTACCCACACATTATAGGAAAGATATGTGAGCAAGGCCTCACCGGTTACAGTGACATCCTCGGGTGTCCACATCATGCAGGCAGAGTTTATCCAGAGTTAAGTAGCAAGACTACATTCAGCAGAACATCCAAGCAAATCCTGCCTAAGAAGACGCTAGTTTAGAGTGAAGAATTGGTGGGAACAAATTGCACTCTCAAATCTGCCTAGCCAATAAGTGTTTCAAGTGTCACAGATTTAGATATATTGAATCAGATTGCGCAACCAGGTTATAATCTACTTCACTGACCGGAGAGCTACAGAAGAAATGGATAATTACACAGTAGAAACTGAAAAAGATGAGGGCATAAAGCAGAAGTATCACATTTCAACTGATGGAGAAGAAAAACACGTAGTTCATATTAAAACTATGAAAGAGACTCCAATATAACTAATATTGGTGGTCCACGACAGTCCTAAGTTCGAGGAATCGATAACAGACAAATGGTAAACCCAGATAATAGAACTTCGAACTTTTTAAATAAATAGTTTACTTTCTGAGTTGACCCTACTGAAGGAGGTTCAGCATGTCAGAGATGAGAATCTTTTGTGTTAATTTTAAAAGGTTATATGGAGCTATTCGCATATTAAATTCACTTCAGGGGTATGCCCACCAACAAATGTCCAACATGAGGGATGAACCACTGCTTTGGAAATTATCTTAGGAACATGATGGGAAAGAAAATTTGACAATGAGATTCAGGTCCTACCAGAGAAAAAAAATGACCTGCCCTAAATGATGGTTAGCGAGAATTGCTCAATTTACCATAGATTTCGTCTTATAGTTGAATCATCATTACCTACTTATTTAACAAATACACTCAAATGAGTACAAGGAGTGCGAGGAGTGGAAGAAACCAATTACAGATTTGATGACCCGATGCTTGGTTCGTAAGGAAACCCATTCACATGCAACTCCAATGTATGTTTTATCAAAAGAGAACGAATATTTATTTTATCAGAATGTGCTTTGGAACTACAATGCCTGTAAAAAATGAATGACTGAGTAGTTACAGTAGTTCTACCTCCTTCAACGTGACGAATCTGACACCAAACTATGAGGAGACAGAAGCTTCACCAAATGAGGTTGAAGCTGCTCTTCTGACGCAGGACGCACATGAGCACAAAATTCCCCTCCCGCGTCCAGTGCCTAGACCGATCGTCCAAGGCAAGGAGACCTAATCGACTTCCTCTTTTGGATTTGGCGCCCCCTTTCAGTTGTGGGTCTGATACTAACTATCTAGGGCATATATATTTGTTTCATGTGTTTTAGGTTGACAGTTTTTGTGTGTTTTGCATCGAGACATCCACCGGGATCTCTTCGTCCCTTTGAGGGTTGTATCAGAGAGTTTCAGGTGGTGTTTAGGTTTTATCTTCTTCTTCAGTAGTAATTATCTTCCTTGTCCCCTTCTACATCCTTCCCACATTGTTGCAGCCGCATCCCTACTTTTTTCTTGCATTTTTACTCTTCCAACCTTGCTGCCAGTCCACACAGCCGCTCTCCACCATTCCCCAACCTTTCTACATCGCTTTCCACCCACTTTCTTCATTACTGCCACCCAGAACTAAAGAAAATCATTATTTTCCTAAAATATTTCACTTTCCCGGCTGCCTTCTCCTCTTCCGAACTTGTCGCCGCCTCTATCCCACCTCCTCGACATTGTTGTCGCAACCAAAATACAAACTGTTGTTGTCGGGATTACCGATTGCTGCTCTGCTGTTCCAGCAGTCCATAAACGCTGCCACCACCTTTCTAAGGACCCCCTAGACCACCATCCCATCCGAGACCCACCCTAGCCACGTGTCGTGTGTCATTTTGTTGTTTCCCTTTCAAGCGTGTTGGTTATAACCGCTTATTAGTTTTTTCAGTAATAATATTTGTTTAGTTATTAACATTGTTATTGTCGGGTCCTAAACCACAGATGTGAAAAATAGAGGGTCGCGTTAGGTAGTCGACAACAAACGTAAAATTTGTTGAAAAATCATGACATGAATCATTTATATATTAATGTAAATGCTAGGGCTTCTCCTGAAAGTGATGCACTGTATGGTTTGAATACAGTGAGAAGTGTGTAAGGGCTGCTACACATACGTCTTGATATAGTGTCAAATAAGAAAGAGTTATCACATGAAGTTAGTTCATGAAACTAATATTATGATAGAAACTTGAAATATAGACACATTCATAGGTAAATCAACAAAATTAGTTGATATTATGATTATGTATTCAAGAAACTAAATTGGGTGGAGAAAAAACTAAGGAGATTGATAGTTTAGGTTTTACGTTTAGGTTTAACAGTTTGTCTAGGTTCCCCTCCAAACTAGCCTATTTAAACAACTTCATTATGGACATTTTTAAGCGCATTTATCAATATGCTCACGAAGAAAAAATTAATTTATAAATGCGCTGACTTATCTTCAGTCAACTTTTGCTCTGTCCTAATAATTAGGACAGATAACTAAAGCAAAGCTTGAGCAGAATTTCTCAAAGCTCTAGCTAAGGCCGAGTTCTGGCAATTACTGCATAGAAGACCTAGTTTGCAAAAGGCTACCATCCGGATCGATTACTCAAGCACATATTAACAAAAATACGTTACCAAAAACAGAATACCAGATCGCTGCAGTCTACGCAGAACTATCTAGCATAATATCCAGAGTAAGCAAGTAAACAGCCACCGTAGATTAGAACATACCGACAGGAAAAATAAAAAAATAAAAACTAAAAACAAAGAATCGTGTAAAATTGGAGGAAGTAAGGTTTGCTACCATTGGGTATACATATCAAGGACAACGATTTTGGTCCCGGCGGCCTTGACGAGGGGCCAGAACGTGTCCTTGTTAACTTCCGTCACTTGACCAACAGTCGGCTCCACCATCTCCAGGCTTGAACGCACGGGTGAAACCCTGAGTCCTCTCCTCGCATCCCTCCAGATCATCGCCGCCGTTCTTCGGCCCGAATCTGCCGGGAGCAGCCGGTGATGAGAGCACCAAGCCACCACCGCCGTTGAGCGATGAGAAGACGTTCCTCGGAGGGACGCCGAAGGAGACAGGGAGATACGAAGCGCCATTATTACAAGACGAAGGAGAGGGTGAGCAAGCGGAGCCTTTGAGGAGATGTCGAGTTCTATAATTGAGGAAAGGAGGGGAGAACCTCCGTCCACTAGAATCGCTGATTTTGGATTTTGGATTTTGTGATGGGACCACTAGTGCCAATGTAATTATGTATTTAGCACTTCCTTTTTAATTTTTATATAAATGGCACATTTCTAAACATGAAATGTGTATTACAATAGTGATATAAATGTAGAGAGTAAAATTTAGATGTTTTACATGTAAATGTATGCAAATTAGGTGATATGTATGTAAATGGCCCCAACTTTAAATTTCATTCAAGAGTTGTAATGCAATATGAAGTTAAAGTTGAGAATAATTCTTTAGTTGGACCTTATAATTTTGTTTTACTCCTATTTTGTTGTTTTCAATCTTAATTGCTTCATTTATTGAATGGAATGTTTGGCTTGAATCAGTTTTCAATTCACTTTTTTTGGTGAATCCATGGATGTACAATTCTTTTCTTTTAGGCTCTCTCCTCTCATTAGCTCCTCTAAGAAGTCCCTATTGTATCATAGCAGAAGATCCGCACTTTTTCAATTTCTTTGGAGGGTGTCATGACGCCACCATGCATGAGACATTTGGTTTGTTGAAAAGAATATTGTAGAGTAGCTAGTTCTATGAAGCTAATGGACTATTTGGTTTGTTGAAAATAAAACATACTAGAAATATAGTGTATATAGATTTTTTTTTTTTTTTTTTTGTAAAAAAAATGCATGTATTTACTTTTTTTGTATTTGGTTATAAATAAAATTAAATCAATATAAACCTTACATCATAATATCAAGCGAGCGGGTGATAGCGTTTGAAAGCAGCAGATTGATGGCGACTATTAGCATGCATGCCGACAAAAGTAAAAGACGGGCAAATAGCAATGGTGCTAAATGAAAGAGAAAGCGACAGCAGCATGTGGTAACAACAAACACAACTTATGGTGTTATGTAGAACAAACACAAGTTGATAATGGAAATTTGGATGAACTAAGTTGATTATTATTTTTATTTATAATGCAAGAGAAGAATGTAATCGAAGATTGTCATATATTATGATAATTACAAAAAAATAAATTTTGCAAGAATCATTAATAAATTCCTTAAATGCTCCAAAAGAATAGTTTGGGCTAAAGATAAATTAATTTTTAGCGTCACAAGTTTTAATATATGTGGATGTATCTTTATGTCAGGTGACAACAACAGCTATAATTTGAAGTGTATTTGGAACTCAACCAATTCTAACAAGTTTAAAATAAAATCGAATTAAACTAGAGAGTGAGTTAGAAAATAAACAAAAATTCTCCTTTTAGGCCATTTGAATCTAAAAAATTTATAGTGAAATTAGCGTACAACAATTATCGAAAGTTGTCTTAAAGAGGCATACAATTTAATTCAAATTATCTCATACTCCACCTACTATACCACAGATTAAATAATTTAAAAGATGCAAAAATCAGCCAGCACATAAGAGATAAATTTAGTATGTAATTAAGCTAAGTTTTGACTAATGAGAAAGCTTACTGAAGTATAGGTATATGTATGTGGGTATTTTCTACAATAAATTAGAAAAAATTAAGAAAATGTATATATATATATATATATATATATATATATATTTATTTATGATGTTACCATTGGGTCTATCTCACCGAGTGTGTCAGATTGACTATAAGTTTGTTGAAATCTGATCTTTCGATGACTTTTTATCAATGTTTGAACATTTTTTGTTCAAATGATTATATCTAGATCAGTGCCAATCTTCGAAATTCATGTCGGATGATGAAAATTTGCTGATGTCGTATCATATATAGAAATATATATATATATATATATATATGTTTATTTGTATGCATGTATGCATGTGCCGCATACCCCAACCTGTTGGTTGGCATCCTCGGCATAAAACTACTCGAGTCAGGGGTTCAAGTCCCCTCTGGCACAGTTGGTCTTAAGGAGGTGATACTTGAATGGTTAGTCACATTAGAGGTGACTGAAGTCTAGTAAAGTCTTTGGTTAGTCCTTAAAATAAATAAAAAAATGTATGCATGCATGCATGTGTGCATATGTATAATTTGATAATATGTAAATAACTTCCTAAATTAAATATACAAAAGATATGTCTTTAATTATCATAAAGTCGAAAAGAGATTCAATTTATTATAGAAAATTAAGAGCTCATACAAAAATGATTCTAATTTTAGGCAGATTTTATGCAAATAAGATTCAAATAGTAGTTAGGAAATAAAAATAATTTTTATCAAAATTTTTTAACTTTATTTTGTTTTTTTTTTTAGCATGTATATTTATTTTGAGAGTTGTGCTACAGCATACATGAATAATATATGGGGCTTTTAAATGCAAGTGACTAGTAATAATTTTGAAACATATGTCTAAAGCTCAATTGAACTTTTATCTTGACACATCTTGAACTATATGTATGCGCTTGTCCAACTTATGTAGTGTAATGAATTGAATGATAAGTTGAATTTTATAATTCCAATATATCTTAAATATCACATTAAATTTTCTAGAATATATTTTTTTATCATCAAATTAAGATGACCAGCCATGAGGCTCGAAATAGGCTTAGAGTTAATGTATTCTTATGTAACTTCTTAACAAAATATGTCAGAAACTAGCACATGAATGGAATAAATGTCAGATTGTCTTTACATTGGACCCTATTTGTTAGATTATCCTGGGTACTTTTGGAACACATAAATCAAAATATATTATGGATTTCCTAGCTAAAAAATATTCCGAAATGAAAGGTTGTTTCTCAGAAAAAAGATTGCAATGCTTTTTATGCATATATGCTAGTTATAAGTCTTTAATTTCAGAAATAATTCAAATAGAATAATATAAATAAATTTTAGAAGTAAGGAAAAAAATTTCAAGCCCATTATTATGCCATATCAAGACTAATACATCTCTTAACATTGAATAAGAAAAAAAAAAGAATATATATATATATATATATATATATATATAATTATAATAATAATAACAATAATAATTTCTTCATCATACTATCATTATCTGAAGTTGATTCCTCTCAGTTATCAGCTCATCTAAGAAAATTACAATAATAAGTGTTTTTACATAGAGTATGGTTGTAACGACTACTACAGTAGTATACTAATACACCTATTGAGACCTAATTTTTGGGATCCAGCAAATCTCACATGTTTATTTTATGTTATTGAAGTTTTTGATGTTTAATTTATTCGTCGATTTTTTGCAGGTTTATTTTACGTCCAATTTATAAATTGTCTCCACCTAATTGTAGAGCACACTTTATTATATTTAAACACATTTTTACCTATTATTCTAGGCATCATAAATAAGAAAATAAAAGATTTCTTGTTACATTTATCTTCCTTAAGGATTTGATACATATTTATACAAGTAGGTTTTCTGGAACTATTCGGTATCTGCTTTGCAAACTATTTTCACCCGTGTGTTTTCATTATGTTTTCGGTATCTATTTTGCAAACTATTTTCACCAGTGTGTTTTAAATATGTTCTTTTATTTATTGACTATTTTTCCATATTTTTGGGAGTCATTTATTTCAAAATATAAGAAGTATTCCACCAAATATATACTTAATAAATATAACAATTTAATTAACTACATTTATTTCCTTTAAATAAAAAATAATAATTTTTATTATAAATATCAAAGTGCATTATGTGGATCCTTCCCCATACGTTTTTTACATTTGTTTTTGTTCCTTCAAAACTGTGAGTTATAGGAAAAATTATTCCATACGGATTGGACACCGCACACATCTTGCGTGCGGTGTCCGATCCTGACCGTAAATCACCTGATTTACGGTCAAGATGTATTTCGATGGGCTCCACCTAAATTTAAAAAAAAATAAAATAATCCTAACCATAAATCATCATAATTTACGGTCAAAATCGGACAATACATGCAGAAATATCCGTATGCAGTAATTTCTCGAGTTATAGAGAGAAAAAGAGAGAGATTGTAGAGAGAGTTTATAGTTTTGGCGGCCATAGAGCCAATTTCGTCCTTCCGACAAATCAAGAAAATTGTTCGACTCTAGTGAGGTTATTGTCAACCCACTTTGGATTTCTTTCAATTTCATTATTTTTGTGTAAAATTTTGGTAATGTATTTGTCAAAATTTCTTACAAACTTAGATTTATAGAGATTTAAGAACTTTTCACCATATGTTATACATTAGATCATGTTGGACATATCGACATAATATATATATATATATATATCTATATATAT